TCCAATGAGTTTGTATGTAAATAATTGTTTTGTAAAATAAATATCATTTATTTTTAGATAAACTTTATTGACTACGATACTCATTGTCAAGTCTTGGTGATAATAAAAGTGATGGTGAATATTAATATTCAACTAATAAAAGAACCCGTTTCCTCCTATATTAACTATATTAATATTAGTCGATATTAATTAGGTTAAATATGAGAAGTTATGTTGGGGTATCTCCTACAAGGTTAAACATGAACATTGAAGACGTTTAATGTTAGCATACAGGTTTAACAATTTAAAGAATTAATTTTGGTTAAATATGCGTAATATTTACCTGTGAAACATAACCCTTTTAGCTCTTGTAAACATGTTGTAACAGTTTCTGCAGTTATAGCAAAGTATTTGTACGTTTATAAAGAGTTTGCACTGCGCTGCATTCTGCTCATTGATTTCAATATTAGCATTGGCTCAATGCATAAAAATCCCCCTTGCGAAGCACGCCCAGGTCACGTGACACCCAATCCAGTAATATATATCAATGGTTCCAGGCCTAATTCAAGATTTAGTGTTTGGTCTATTCAGACCAACCACATGTAGTCATGACATCATGGCATCTGAGCTGTGGTCTGCTGGGGTAGCAGCATCAGTGTCAGAGAATAAAGCCACCAATAAGGCTGATAAAATTATTAGGCTGAACATGAAGATGTTTGAATCATTGAGGGAAGAACTACATCCACCCATCCCTTTTATAAACCCACTGTTGTTCAAGATTGCAGGGAGCCAGTATCTGTCCAAACCTGGAAATGTCAGCAGTCCATCTCAGGACCACACAGAGACTAACAACCATCCATGCTCACAGCTTAGAACTATCCAACACACCAGAGTCAAAACAGACTTCTTTAACTGTTTAAATTATAGGATTTTTAAAATTGTAATAAGGGTTTAGATTCTTTTTTTTGACTGCCTCTGTGATCAAGTATTTATGCTTTCTGCTGTATGAAGGACCTCTCTTTACAACATGACCTCTTGACCCCACAGGTCAGGATTTCTCTTGAACTGAACTCTGTTCTGAAAAAGCTTCTTAGAGACAAACTCTGGTCTTACTTTTCCTTGATCTGTATTTGTCATGCAGATCAAGCTGACAACAGAATCAGTTTATGTGTCATATACAGAGCACCACGGAATATGTTTCAGTACAGCCCGTCCAAGAGAGACAGACAAAAAGTGCCTGAGGCTGCAGTCATAAAAGCGCTGCTCTTTTTGTGTTAAAGAAAAATAAGAAACAGCAAACATGAAGGGAAGATGAGGGATTAAAAAACATATCATACTGTGTTCCTACAAGTTTGCAAAACACACACACATTTAAGCCAACAAAGGCAGTGAACTGAGGGGATGTGTTTATCTGAAGCCGTGGAGATTCTGTTTGTGCATCTGTGAAATAAGACCCCAAGCAGCACTTAAAAACAGCAATAAAGCCAACCAAAGTGCTGAACAAAAAAAAAAAAAAACATCAGAGAATACAAGATAAAATACATCAATCTACAATAACAATGACAGTTTGGAAATTAAAACATTTTTCTTGTGAAAGTCTTTAGTCAGAAAGCTTAAAGCTCTGACTTTCATCAGATTAAGGGACCTGTTGGTGAACAGCTTCTATAAAAAGACCTTTAAAATATAAAAAAAATGTTGGTGGGAGTTCTCAGTTTCCTCAGATGTGCTGCAAACATGTGGTTTCATGTTTAAAAGTATTTGTGAAACTGCAGATCATAAATAAAGCTGATAAAAATAATAATGTGGGTGGATGCAGACGACAAAATAACTTGCGTACTTGAACATTTTTATTGTAAACACCAGGGAGGACTTAGCCCTTCTACCCCACTTACACCTACCGTCCACCAAACAGTACATGTTCGGTACATACACTCAAAAAACAGATGTGTTGGATTTACTTAACCAAGTTCTGTTAACTGTTTCCACTCAACACAACTTGATTAAGTAAATCCAACAATCTGTTTTAAGTGTAGTTTCAGCTGCAGTCTTACTGAATTCTGAATCTTTGTTAGCAGCAAGCTGTGCAGCTGTGTTTTACACAGGATTTTTAAAATTTCAGGGTTTTTTTTTTCATGTGCATGGCTTCGAGAACTGTAAATTGAATAAACACAAATAAAAAAATACTGTATGGCATTTTAGGAAATTTACCACAAAACCTACGGTTTGAAGAAAAGGTCAGTTTTTTTTCAAAGGGCTAGCTTTTCACAGCCCCGTTCATTTAATGTCTTTCCTGGTGCAGAATGATTGACAGACGTGTTGTCCCGCCCCCTAGGTTTGCTGCTCATTGGGGCATTTTGTTCAGCTCAGGGTCAGTCTGAGGTCACAGGCTTCAGCCGATGAGGGTGGACATAATAATGTGTATGTGGGTGTGGTTTAGGTAGGTACGATGGTGAGCAAGATTAACATTAATGAGGTGGATTATTTAATTTCTCTCCCATTTTCTTTCATGTTTTTGGTAGAAAAACTGGTAGTGGAGGTCTGGGAGCATAGACCTGAGGGTATTCAAATCCAGCAACAGGAAAAGCAGCAAACTGAAGTATGTCTGTGACCTAGTTCTCTTTTCTGCTTTCCATGTTTGCTGTTTGGAGAAGACACAGGAGCTTTTATATATCTATACATTATTTATCTGTTAGCACACACCACACAGATCAGCACCAGCCACCACTGACCAGGAGGGTTTTCATCAGATCACAAACTGCATGATGGTGCAGCTGGTTAATTATTTGTATAATTATTAATTATGCTACCACAGTGAGAAGGTTGCAGGTTCAATTTTACAGAGTTTCTATCTTGAGTTTCCATGTTTTTCCCATGCATGTGTTGGTTTTCTGCAGAAACTCTTTTCACAAATGCATGTTAGGTCAACCAGGTATTCTAAATTGAATTTAAGTACAGTATACAGTATGTGAAAGGCTGTCTGCTTGGTCGCGGTCCTGTAATGGACTGTGACCTGTCCAAGGTGTTTTTTAAAGATAAGACGCAGCCTGCAGGCTGAACTGAATGACACAAATCTAAGAAACAGGTGGATGGTTGGTTAAATCGCACTGAAAAGGTCCAGAAAAGTAGAATGCAGGAAACTGTAGGCAAAAATCAAAATCTGTAACAAAATGAATGAACCAAACTGTGTTCAAAAGCTACGGCAGGTTGAGAAAGGCTTACTCACCCTGGTGATGAATCAGGGAAAATTCTTTTCAATGACGCAGTCACGTGGCTGATCACGGCTTCAAGATCTTCATCCTGCAGCATGCTGAACGACAGACTCTGCCTGTCTGTTTCCAACACAATCTGCAACCAACAACGGTTTACTGCCCACACAGGTCCGCTCTGAGTCAGAGGTGGTGTTCGCTTTGTGCCTCAGATTTGTTTTGTTGGTTCACATATTTAAATAAATTCAAAAGATCAGTAAAAAAAACATGACAAAGACAGAATATACAATGATGGTATACTTGTGTGAGGCTGTGGATTCTGATGGAAGAAATCTCCAGGTAGCTGAATGAGCTCTCCACCTGAAACATACAGTATATAAAGAAAGTGTTACATCCAGAACTATTGTGAGAAAAGAAAAATTATATCATCTGAAGTTCAGAGCTGGTGTTTACTCGAAGTGGTTGCTTGTTTGGAACCAGGTAACCTCTCCACAGACTCAGTACCTGAGGCAGAAAAACATAGATGTAAAATAAATGAAAGTGACTCATTTAGCAACTTTAAACCCACTTTAGAAAACACAAGACATTTACACAACTTTATTGCAAAAATCAAAACAACAAATTTACTAAATATAACTTTAATATAAAATATATATTAAAGCTTACAGCTGGAATCAACCTTCTTTAGGATGACCACCACAGCTTCCTGACTTTAGCACATACAAGAATCAATACAATATACACACATACAGTACAATTAATACTGCTCCCAGTAAGAGACTTCTTCAGTCTGAGAGTTTCAGGCTAAATTCAGGCTTTTAAGCACTGCCTCCATGTGACTGATACTCACATCACATGGCTATCGTTGACAGGGGGTGGAGTGATACTGCCAATAGCAGCGCTGTAGGAGGGGGACAACTGAAAACGGAGGCCCCCACCTCTGTTT